ATGTTAGATCACAAAACAAGCCTCCATAAATTTACAAGCCATCAAAATTCTACAGAGCATCTTCTCAGACCACGATGCTATAAAACTAGAAATCAACAATAAGATGACCAAGGCAATAAAGTCGAATACATGGAAGCTGAACAACGCCCTGCTGAAAAGCGACTGGGTAAAAGAAGAAATTAAACAGGAATTCACAAAGTACCTAAAAACAAATAAGAATGAAAACACAACATTTGGGACACGGCAAAAGCAGTGCTGAGAGGACAAATTATTGTGATAAATGCACACATCCAAAAAGAATAAAGAACTAAAGTCAACACATTAACACAGCATCTTCAACAATTAGAAGCAGACCAGCAGAGGGAACCTACAGTCATCAAAAGAAAAGAAATAATAAAGATAAAAGCAGAAATAAATGAGATGGAAAACTGAAAATCTATAGAAAGAATCAACAGGACAAGAAGCTGGTTCTTTGAAAGGATTGATAAAATTGACAAACCATTGGCAAAACTAACTAAAAAGAGGGAAAGGACACAAATCAATTGCATTAGAAACCACATGGGTGAAGTCACAACAGAATTAAACGAAATCAAAGAGATAATAACCGAATACTATGAAAAGCGATACTCCAACATATGCAAAAACTTAGATGAGATGGATTTATTTCTAGAAACATGACCTACCTAAACTTACTCAGAATTAAGTACAAAACTTGAACAAAGCCATAACAAAAGAAGAAATTGACCAGGTCATCAAAAAACTTCCAACCAACAAAAGCCAAGGCCCAGATGGCTTCACAGGTAAGTTCTACCAAGCATTCAGAGAAGAACTGTCACCAATTCTACTCAAATTATTCCAGGACATAGAAGAAGATGGAAAACTCCCTAATAATTTTTATGAAGCAAGCATAACCCTCATACCGAAATCAGAGAGGGACATCACTAAAAAAAGAAAACTATAGACAAATATCCCTCATGAACACAGACGTAAAAATTTTTAACAAAATTCTAGCCAACAGAATCCAACAGCACATCAAAAAAATAATGCCTCATCACCCAGTGGGCTTTATAAAAGGGATGCAAGGATGGTTCAACGTCAGAAAAACAATCAACGTAATCCATCATATAAATAAGAAAAAGGAAAAGAACCACATGATCATATCGATTGATACAGAAAAGGCATTTGACAAAATCCAACATTCATTCCTGATAAAAACACTCAACAATGTAGGAATTGAAGGGAAATTCCTCAACAT